CACCGAGTGTTGAACAGTAATGGCTAGATCTGCTTTACATGTCAATGAACTACACTCTGTAACTACACAGCATAAGCATAGCTAGGTCAATACACTTTGTGTACAGTAATCATAGACACCTTCAACATCTCAAAACATTTTGCTTTAAGTTAAAAGTATGTCTAAACTCCCAACAGGTTATGCAGTTCATCGTCATCCATAATTGGCTCCGAGTCGGAATCGTGGTCCATCTCCTCGGTATGAGAGTCTTCTTGAGAGTCAGTTGGATTTGCTGGGTCATATGGCTGGTCAGCATCAGCATCGTCTTCATCTCTACTATCACCATCGGCAGTTCCATTGATAATGGCAGCAATCCTAGCATCCAGATCTTGGCGCTCCTGAAAAAATTTCAACAGGTCCTGCTACATTAACCATAAATACTAATGACATTCAATTAATATAAATTGGTTATGCTAGACTTGCACTGTGAAAAACATAGCCACCTCGTGACTTCTAGTGCCAGTGCATTGTGTGACTAGATTTAATATTCTCCTCATATTAAATACTGTTGAGTAATCATTTCATGCCGTGAAGTACTAAACCTGAAATATTTACAAACCTTTCTCAATGTGTATATGGTACACAATAAACAAAGCAATTCCATTTAAATGGACTATGTCTAAACTCATCCTTACCTCTAAGATGTTAAATTAGGATTACAGCGAATTTTTATATGGAAGTCATTGACAATGTGGACACCTTACCTTGTTCCAATTTTGATTCATCTTTTTTGCTATCATTTAACTCTTGTTATCAAATCATTCCTTTTTGTACAACATTTCTTTGCTGAATATTTCTGACAATTTAGACTAAGCATCCTTTAGTTCACCATGATATAGTTTCAAAATGTTACATATATGCATATAATAAGAACATTAATAGTACAATGAGACTTACTTTCTCAGCATTGCACTGGCTGACAACTGATGTACCACAATTTCTCTTTACAAGGTTAGCAATTTTTGTAAAACTTTTTACAGGCAGTACACTAAACTAAGTCATGTACATATGTAAACATTGTACTTCTTAGGAACATGAAGATCCCAATAAATACTTTGCTGGATAACTATCACAGGTGGTCATACATTAAAAAATATTCCATATCATATGACGTACTTATACAAGATTCAGTAATAAAACAAAAACTTAACTCAAAGATTCATTTTAACCTTTTGGTAGGGAAGATAAATGTATTATTTAAAAATACTGGATGAACCTTAAGTAGGTGTTTACTTGAAGGAAGACTGATGCAGAGGCAAAATAAAAGTGAAAGGTACTGTAAAGATATATGACAGCTTATTCTGGCTGGTTTGAACAGGACCTGAACCATTTTACCCAATGGTGCGAGTTTAACTGAATGACTAAAGCACAATATGAGTGGAAATATTAGTATTAATGATAACGCATTAACATTGGGTTTATATAAAGTCTGATTAGATTAACCACATATGGCTATAAATATAAACATCACACAAACATGATCACAACAAAAGTGACCTAGTTTTTTTGTTTTTTTGTTACTTACATTGAGCTGCATCTAAACATACATTTTCTCGAGCAATAGTAAAATAAGGCCCAAGAAAATGGGAGTGTAAAGAATAAATTGTTGAAAGCATGATACATATTAGGTCAGAGAATTACTTTTGGTATTGTAGAATTTCTATCCCAAATGCATGCACATGCCATGTTTAATGGGTGCACATGCCATGTTTAATGCATGCACATGCCATGTTTAATGGGTGTATGCAAAAAAAAGAGTCTCAGATACTGAGAGTATAACAAATAAGTAGCATGCTAATAAGGTTAATATAACTTAGTTCAGGTGCATCTCCATATTAACTTTCAGGTGTAGGTCAAACTTAACCCAAATACTAAGCATGTAACAAGCAATTAGCTCAAAATGTGTCATTCAAGCATGAAAATTAGGTCAGTTATCTAGATTTGGTACAACCTAGCTGCTCTCACTGAAATAAAGGGTACAGGGCAGTCTATGGTGTCTGCCTTAACAGATCACTCCCATATCTCACCACTGTCCAAAGGAGTCCAAGTCTCGGCTTGACCAACCTGGGTATATGAGCAAGCTTGCCAGTAGCTCCCCCTGGGTAGTGGTTCTTCCTCCACCAAAAAATTCTGTATGCTAGGTAAGTCCATCATGATCTGAAAATGGTATTAAACCCTCTAAACCAAACCAAACCCGACAATTCGCCACATCGAGTTTCAGGTGAAATAGCATCAAAGACATTGTAGGCATAATGAACAAATAAATGAATAGGTAAAACACTTTATCTCAGCTCTGCTGTTTTTAAAAAAAAATCATTCATGTCAGATATGTACACTTACAGTTTCCATTTCATCGTCGTCTTCATCTCTAAAATCTGCCTCAGGTGCATACTTAGATACCTCCTGGGCCTGCATCGAGTGTAAGACTTCTGATGCTTTTGCCAAGCTGGCTAGTCTGTCGTCCAAATTCTCATACTTTTCTTCATCTGTTCCTAAGAAGGTAGTGCTTGGCCTTATAAAATTAGTGCCCGAGGGCATCGTTGATGATGCTGTTGGTATATACGGAGAGTTACTATTACTAGATGGAACAGCCATGCTATCATTTGTATTGGTTGTATTTTCTTCTATGTCCATGGATGAAGATTTTTCAGAATCTTGTGGAACAAAATCTGTAACACGTTCAATGTTTCTAGTATCAGACCTATTGCTATCTACACTGTTTTCCTCAAAATGTTCCCCAGAAATATGTCCAGGTATTTGGTTGTCATTACTTGGTTTGTCATCCAACTTTTCTTGTGTTCTATCTGATAATTCTTTGCAATCTGAATCTTGGGAATCGGTGAGATGTTCAAGAAATGGTATTTTTCCCGACGAATTGGCACCAAAGAAATACTTACTTTCCTCACTTGGAGCACTATTTGCTTGGTTGTTAGTCACAGTGGAAATGGATCTTCCCTCTGTATTATTTTCTGTCACTGATTTTTCCACTATGGATGTGTCTGAATTAGATATTGTAGATATATCTAATGTTAAATTTGGCCGAGGGGGCTCTCCAAAATTTTCCTTTTCATCCTGAATCCCATTCTTTTTGCCATCTGAAATATGGTACATTGATTAATGTAAGAGACAAATTACAAAGTAAACTGAAAATGGTAAACCCATTTTGATGCAAATCACTAACAGACTGTCTTACAATGTACGATGTTGATCCGTATACAAATAACTTATGGGGGAGGGGGTCAACATATTACTGCCTGCATTATCATTATTGTGAAGTCAACTACTTGGATCTAAATAGTAAATTTTCAAGAATATCTAAAGCTGGCAGCCTCACTGAGTTTAATTGCTTTAGCCATATGCTTACTCTGAGGTCTTTCATATTATTGAAGTATATCCAATCATCATCAAATAATTGGATTTTTGAAACATCGATGACTTCCATTTCTGATGGTTGAACAGTAAACATAGCTGAGTAATGCAGAGATGATTATGTTAAGGGTTAATTATCTTCAGTGAAACAAAGAATTGCTAATCACATAAAATCAAAGCAATCAGTCATATTAGTTACCTGAAAACAAATGTATCGATCTAGATGCAATCACATACGAGGTAACATAACTCAGGCTAACAATAATGAGAAAATAGTGCACAAACTTTAGCAAACATTAAAAAAAGTCTTGGGTGCAGATGGATGAACATTCAGATGTGTCAATGGATTTGCATGCATAGAGATATCAAAATAATCTGAAAAGGTATGAGCAAAAAAAAATATTTACTTGTTTAGTAATGTGATATGCCTCAGGCAGCATTAGCATTGCTGACTGACATTTTATACCTAAATTTTCATGCTTGGTAGACCATAAAAGTCAATCTTGATTAAAAAGAGAATTCATAAAATATTTACAGTTTTCTACAGTAGGTTCAATTTTACAACATAATATGGTTACAGCTTGTGAAATAAAGCAGTTTTTAGTATTATTCTTCATGAATTGTCAAACTACATCTCACCATTGACAATTCATGCACAATGGGGCACCAAAACAAGGATTGCGATAAAAGTTACCAAGAGACCTTTAGAAAAACAAAAATGGAGATCAAGAAACTGAAGTGAAAGGGTGTAATGATGGGGGCTGGTTATGTCATTGATACTTGTTTTATAATCACAAGGAGAATAAAGATCGTTAAAAGCACTATTCCATGATATTTCAGTACATTTCATGTGTTCCCCCCTGCAACACATTGTGTATTACATTCTAGCTTTTGTGCTGAACTGGACATATTCTAGTCTTATTGTTCATTCAGAATTAAACAAGATTTCTTTATCCAAAATGGATGAAATTAATTTAGAGAAACATCCAAACAAAACGATTGTTTTTGATTTGATATCAATAGATCGTTTCAATTGCTGTGTGAAGAAGGCGCAAACAGCATCATTAATTCCATACCATTTGCAGTCTATATTTATTTTCATTTAAATCACTCATCAAAATCAACATCATGCAAATTTCCAAATTTCTGCTTATCCTTGAGCTCCACATGTCAACTTGGCAAGTTTAAGTACACTACAAACTTTAAATCTTGCTTCTCCATTATAAACTGTACCTATGATACTATGCTTTTCATTCAATGAGTATGCCTCTTACTTGGGTTTCTTACTTTTCATCATCACATTTACAGAAGCTGAGGATATTATATATGTGTGTGTGTGTGTATGTGTGTGTTGTTATGTGATTATGATTTTTAATGTAGCTTTAAAAATTTTCAGTCATATCAATAAGATATCTGCAGTGTGACAGTTTATAGTGATGTCTATTACTGGGGCATCATGCCACAGACATGTAGCATGATGTCCCACCCAGTCACATTATCCTGACACCAGGCCGACCAGTCCTAACACTAACCTCTTAATGCTAAGCGCCAAGCGAGGAAGCTGTTAGTACCATTTTTGTAAGCCTTTGGTATGACTCGACCGGGGATCGAACCCAAAACCTCCCGCATTCGAGGCGGACGCTCTAACAACTAGACTACCTGAGCGGTTGTATTGTTATGTATATATAATTTAATCATTTGTTAGTTAATTTTATTTTTTGTTTATTCCATTACATGTTATTGTATTGATAATTTGTCTACTGATAATTTTTTTTATAGAAATTCAGTTCAGTTCTGTTTGATCTGATAAACAACTGGTAGTTGAAACATTGCACCTAATTTCTGACCATGGTTCAAAAATCAGAGTTCTAGCAAATAACTTTAAAAAAATTATTCATTCAAAGAGTAAGACTCGTTCAGTGGAATCAAGGCTATACCTGGATTATGTGACAAAAAACGTGTTTATTGTTACAAAATTTTGGTTTTCCCAATGGGATGAATATTCGACCCCCATGTGAGAATTTGTTTTGCATTTTAGTTGGGCTTATAACTCATGTTATCTTAAGAATTTGTCAATTGTGTTCTAAATCTTTGACACCTAAAGGTGTTTAGTTGCAATCAGTTTGATTTGAATTATTATTTTATTCAATTTAAAGTAATTATTTTCCTGGAATTCAATTGCTCCTAAATCAATTCTTGTACAAAGATATTTATTGAAAATTATTCAGAATTCAAAATTGGATTATTATTTTCTGTGATTAAAAAAAAAACTGTTGAGAGAACAGCACTTCACAGATTACAATGCTGACTATTGCATATGTCATTGCCTTCCATTTTGGAATTTCATTGGGACTCAAACTCAAGATAAAAAATTTATGACTTTTTAATAATAGGGTTTCTATTTTTTAATTCTTGAATTATATTTGGACTTGATTCATACAACCATAAGTTCTTTTTCTAATTTTTACCTTGGTTTTCCAAGGAAATAAATTATTTGTTAAATTTTAAAAAGCTTGTTGTATTCACTCTTTTCTTGTTACATTTTGTATGAGCCTAGACATGTAACTATATATATATATATATATATATATATATATATATATATATATATATATATATATATATATATTCATACATTTCAATGATACTAATAACAATATTTGAAACAGTGTTTGAATGGCTAAATTACATGAATTGATTTTAACACCTGTGAGTGTTTAAAAGAGCTTAAGCAGGTATGATTTGCACATCTCTGAACTTGTTTATTTGCCTTTCTTTTCAAAATCTCAGTCTATTATAATCAATACTTCCCTTCATGAAGCTGAAGATCGTACCATAGCAGATACTTAATTTTCTTATCACATCAAGCTTGAATGTATCAATGTGATGACTGAATGGCTGTTTTCATGTTTGAATAAAAATGAAATTACATTGATTGTACTGATGACATTGAGACAGAATTAAAATACCATAATATAAATTTAACTTGATGACTTTGTATTTATTTCTTACAGTACTGTCACCTGTTAGCATTTACCAACATTTTCAATTTATCAGTATTCCACTCTATATTATTTACAGTTTAATAAGAACAATTCTAAGAAAATCTACCAAAACAAAATCTCTGATTTCTTGTTAAAATTAATAAATTTCACAATGCTCATTCAACATTTTTTGACACCACCAAACAAGTTATATATCAAGGTTTAATTTGTGTGTGAGTTTTGGAGTTTTAGCATAGCTTTAATCTTTTTAGTCATATTGCTATGAAATCTGCAGCATAGCAGTTGACAGTGATGTTTAGCACTTTGGCAGCATGCTGCATAAATGTAGCAACATGTCCCACCCATTACATTATCCTGACACTAGGCCAACCAGTCCTAACCCTAACCTCTTGATGCTAAGGGACAAGCAAGGCAGCTGTTAGCATAATTTTTATGTCTTTGGTATGACATGGCAGGGGTTCGAACCCATGACCTCCTGCATCTGAGACAGACGCTGTAACCACTAGGCCACCAGTGTAGTACAAGGTTTAATTTAACTTGCACCCCCCCCCATAACCCCTGACCGTGTCATAAGCAGGTTTGCAAGCTATTTGTGTGGTCTATATATAGTAAGAGGTGTATATCTCAATTGCTTTAACTTTTAGTAAAAACAAAAAAAGAGCAAAGAAACAAGCAAAACAAAATTAACATCAGATCACCTTCATGGCTTACATTTGCTCATTAGCCAAAAGCAAGTACCATTGGCCAAGAAGTCTCAATCAGTAGAATCCATTATATTGAGTTTTCTCCAATGCTCATGGTTTCTTTACTTTTATCTCTTTGTCCATATCCGACTGCACATCAGCATTTGTCCAATATAGAAAGTCAAATATGCCACTATTTTGAGTCAAAGTTGATCAAATACTTTTTAGCAATCATTTTTGATCAAGTCGTCCATGTTTTCTTACTTCTAGTAAGTGTAGCCCAATCTGATGGAAGAACAGCTTTTCTGTAAATCTTAAGGACACTAGAGCTAAGACACATTCATGTAATCTTGTCATAGCAAGTTTTTGAAGGCATGTCTATTTTTACTAACAACAGCCATATCTGATGGCAATCTGGTACCAACTGTACAAACTTAAAAGCCTTTTCTGCCAGAATGTTTTCTTAAATTTGGTAGAGTAATTATTTTGAGTCATTTCAAATTTATTTCTCTATTTTTATTAACAGTGGTCATATCTGATGATGGACCAGTACAATTTGCATAAATACTGAATGAAAGGTTTTAGTGCCAGGATACTATCTGTCAAATATTAAAATATAATCCTATTCACAGATTTGAGATGCTGAGGGTATTTTTTCTTCTATTTTTTGCAATGATGGTCACATTTGATGTGTGTTTGTGCGAGATTTGGATTTTTAATGTAGCTTTAAAACTTTTCAGTCATATCACTGGGGGCATCATGCTGCAGATACGTAGCATACTGTCATACCCAGTCACATTATCCTGACAACAAGCTGACCAGTCCCAACCTCTTAATGCTTAGTGCCAAGTGAGGCAGCGAATTCTCCAAACAATGTAGGAGGAAAAGTATAACAGACTCATGCCAAGAGATGCACAGATGATTAAGATAACCTCAAACTGACACAGGAGCACATCACAATGCTGATGGTGGGGTCTTGAACAAAGGTTGAATGCATATGTATTTTCAGAACAGTGGCCAGATCACAGCATCTAACACAATAAACCAGTTACTGCTCCATACTTAAACAGTTTTTAATATAATGCAGCACTTTTGCTAATTGCTATTAACTAAAAATATACATTTCTTTATGTCCTAATGTCTACTAGCTCAAAATATATTGTACAGACTTGACAATAAATAAAAATCATGCTTTAACTGGTCATATGCAGCAACTGGTACTAAACCTATATTTCTTCATCATTTTAACAAAATAGAAAATAACTGTATAATACAAGCAATGTTCTCCTCATACATGCAATGTTCGATACTACAGAGCAAGAAATATCCAATATTTGAAACTTTTTCAACTACCAGAATAAGTAATAAGACAGTATCATTGTTCCTACCTTTAGTATCTCATAAGAAAAAAAAACTTATTAAAGGGTTGACATTTATAGGATGATTGATATTAAAGATCAATTTATTTTGCATTTCATCCTGTAAAAAAAAAAAGAATTGTATCTGATATCTGTAAATTGTTTTCAATGGCAACCTATATCTTAAGTTCCCATTTTTGGCAAAATCAAATTTTAACAACAAATTTGCTGAACCAATTAAAAAAAACAACATATTTCATTATTCTGATAAAAATAAATATTTAATCTGTCTTATATTATTTTGTCTCAAGTGTTTCGTAAAATGTCTGTTTGAACCTACTAAATGTTGACCTCACTTCACTCATTTCCCCCTCCCATTCAAGTCCAGTGTGGACACTTCCAGAAAAGTTAAGAGAAAAATCACATTTCTCTCAGTGTCAATATCACTTTTATCCAGGACCTAACACCCAGTCAACCAAAACTAATGTGTTTCTAACTCTGTGTGTCTATCACTTTTATCCTGGACCCATCCCTAAGTCAACCCAAACTAATTCGTTTCCAAATTGCACCAAGTACAAGCCATCAAAGAATGTTGGTCTATAACTCAATTCTCAAACAAGTCTTCTTATGTGCTGATGTCACTCTGAATGAGGGATGAGAAAAAAGATTAATACCACTATGTACTTTGCCATACTATCAAACGATTTTTACAAGAAGAAATGTAACTGACCTGTTAAATTTTTCACTTCGTTCTCTTTATTTTCCCTCTCTAGCCTTTCTTTTTCTTCTTTTTCTACCTGTTTCTTGTATTCAGCAGCCTCTCGGCTGAAGACCTGTTACAAAAGACAAAACACCATCATTTCACATGCAAGATGTTTTCTGTATGAATACTGCATTTGCTTGTATAGAAGAAACAACTAGTTGTGATAAGCATAGTCATGACCTTAGTACTTTGTTGGTACATCAAGATCTGTGATGCATTTATACTCATTTTTTTTCTACATTAGTTGTCAGAACTGAATTTTTTATCAGATTTTATTCCTTCATATTGAACAATATGTGTCTATAGCTACTTTTATTATCAACAAATGTAGACACTATCGTAATGTGTACTAATTTCTTAGATTTGTCTGAGGATCAACTAAATGAGCTGTTTGGAAGAGATGACCAGGGTGACTGTGCAGGAGTTCTTTGGGTTCCAATAGAAATGTTCAACAACAGTGAAATGTCCTTTGATTGCTATATGACAACTATTTCATATATCCTTAATCATTTAAACACATAACTTTCTGCAATGTTTATAAGCATTTACATACCTGATGGTTCTGACAATGAGTCTGCTTTCTTAAATAAAAAATAACTTTTCTTTAATAAAGTACATAAAGGCATCAAAAGGTCAAGGGTGATTTCGTTTCTTTCAGAGACTAACCTTTTGACAAGATCATCCAAGTATTGAATTTGAACAAAAATTCAATTGACAAAAGCATGTTTGGGGATAAAATTAGCTTCTGGACCAATATGCCAGATGATCATAGTGAAATACAGTCTTCAATGTTCAAATTTCAATTTGGAGGTTAAGACAAACTGAGAAAAGAGTCTGGAGAATTATCATTACTGAATGATTCCACTTGTGGCCAAAACCTTCAATATGCTGAGATGGTCAGCAAAACATCTTACAATACTGAACTGGATGACTACAGGTCCACAATAACTTCTATTTTTCCAAGTATTGTATGAATGCTGTTATGTTTTGGCATAATACAATTCCTAACTACTGAAATGTTTCTTTTTGTTATCAACACTGAACATTTAATATTTTACCTGACTAAATGACTCTCCTTCTCCAATTAAAAAGAACTGCTTAAACTTGCTGTAGATATACTCTGCTTTCTTGCGGATCCTCTCACTACCCTTGTATTTTCTACACTGTAATGTAAAAATAAAACAGACCTTAAACATATCACCAGTGTCATCTTTACCCCACATGATAAACTTTAAAGAATTAAACGTCCAAGAAAACAATCATCATGATATTCCTCCATGCAACAGTTCATCGTGCAGATCACCACTTAATTGTACATGTATACATACACATAGCATGATTACATGTGCAACTTTTTCAGGTGACAATATGTACTGTACATTAATTTATTGTTACAAGCATAAATTTTCATGACACTACTACAAAATTCCTATGGTATATAAATTTATGCACATGCATCACATGCAAATTCTACGATATTAAATTCATGGTTTGTGCAACCCCCAAAAAATCAAAACTACAGAGATGGTAATCTTGAAATGTATTTTTCAATTAATTGGTTCCTTTCTCCATGAAACTGAACACGTGTAAGTTCAAGTCACGGTGATGTCAAACTTGTGTTGTTCCATGAAATCAAATAATCCAGAAAGCAATACAACATAAAAGCTAGGAAATTAGCGATATGTCACTATGTATACATGCCAACCCCCCAATCCAACAGATGCAAGCATAATTATTGTTATTATAAGTGGCAAAAAAGCTTAATTTAGGCATAAAAAGTGTAATTTATAGTTTACATGACAGAATTATACAGCATGTATGAAAAAGGCATTTTCGCAACTAACCTGGTTTTACAGTGGGTAAAAATTCTTGTCACAAATGGCAAAATCCATATGGATTACAACCAGAATACGAACACAAAAAAAATATAATTAAAAACTATTTATATTCAGAATGCACTTCAACTAGTCTACATCGTTAAATTTTGCTGAATGATTGTGAAATGGAATTCTGTAATGATCATGGTCAGGTGCTCGGAGTGATTACTCTCATAATCTTCTTTTAAAGTTTGTAAAGTGGTGTTGATTTGTCACATTTTCTGATATGACATGTTTATATGCTTGAAAAGATCTATATGCTCAAACATTTCTAACATCCAAAACTCGATATCTGGTGCCATTTTCTTTAAAAATAGAGAAATATACTCTTATGCGGCACTTTTTTAAAAGAATATTCTCAAATTTATATGAATAAAATTAATGACATAATGATAAAATGACAAAAAACAATTGTTTTTGCTTTTTTAATGTAGCAAAAAAAGCATATTTTATATGCAGTCTTGTGGAAAACATAATTTGGTGAAAACAAGTGTAATTATTATGCCGAAAGTTTAATGGTTGGCATGCATGCTCTATGTTGCAATTACCCTGTTGAACATTGCACAGAGAAATGATAATGTAATGATCTGCATCATTACGTCTCACTCACCTTTTTGATAGTATTCATAATGTCTGGATTTTTCTTCAACATCACTTGATTGACTGGTAAAGCTTCCAGATCAGCCATAATTGCAATACATTTGTCTACATCCTGAGAACATATGAAAGAATATACAGGATAAAATCAACACAATCATTTTAGGCCCAGTATCACTGCTTTATCAAAGATGAAATCAACATCTTTTTGTTGCCTCTCCCACCCACCCTCCGTGTCAA